GTTGATCGGTAACTAACCTGAGGAAGCTACCAAGCTCTCTCTTAATTTAAGACAGCTAACAGTTTGTTGGTAAGTTCCGTCATGCAAGAAGGGTGTTGAAGAGTATGGGCCAGCAGGCTTGCTGCAGTGTTCTTCCCTTCTTGTGTTGTTTTACACTTCTCGGGTGTAAAGGAACGTCTGCTTGACTCTAGCGAGGGGGATAATTTGGAACATGTGTCCAGCTTCTTGCTCAGCTAAGGTGCTATTCCAAGCCCCGAGTTAAAACCTATTACTCTTCATATTTTCAAGGTGTAAGTTATAATGCATGTTTGTTCAAGGGGGTACAGTTTGGGGCAGTTTAGCTGTGCCCATAACTCAGCGGCGGCGGCGGCGGCTCCACTCAAATAATACGTCGGTAAATCTTCTCTCCCTATTCTTCACGTCTGCGTTTTCGAAAATCTTAAATTGGTCAGTTAACTATTACGTCAGCTTAGGCTAGGCTACGTCTGGGTACCATATTGTTAAGTTAACTCAGATTAAAGTTTGGCTGCATTAGGTTAGCTTACGGTCAAGTTAAGGTTAGGTTAGGTTATTAATGAGAAGCCAAATTAGCATTTATATACGAGCCTGAGTCCTCTCTGTCAACCAGGTTGTTGGTGGTAGCAGCCAACACGCCCAGCATAGCCTGCCTGACCATCTTTTAAGGAACATCTCTTAACTGTGGTGAAGGTCTGCCGATGTTGGTAGTACTGCTGTTCTTAGTAAACACTTAGTTCGTTATCCCCATCACCTTACTCATACCCACAACAATAATAACACTTCTGTCTGACACAGCAACACTACAGTGTCTTGATACATGGGAAGTGTGGGCCACGCTCACCTGTGAGGTCACCTCCAGCTGCCTCACCTAACTTCATCTCCAGGCTTGAGGGACTGACCACCACCCACTGAGGATGACGGACTGATCACGTTAAAACTATCACTGCTCCATGTTACTGTATTCTCCCATAATGATCGAAGAAGCCAGTTCCCTCAATAAAGACGTGTTGCACACCTGCCTTTATCAACTTGTTGGTATTGTATACCATTAATATGATACCAGAATATAATGTCTGGCAGCATACCTGGCCCAGCATTGAACGTGAGGGACTGACCACCACCTATCAAGGTCTCTTTCCACATCACAACCTGGTTAATCCGACCCAGTCGACCAAATGAAGCGTTCTAAATGTTTCACGTAAAATAATATAGTATTTTAAAACTAAAATTGCCATACTTAACAAAATTGCTAAGTTTTTTGTAAGTAACGCCAGTGTTGAAGGTTTGAAGCTGATCCAGAGAAGCATTCTCGGGTTACCACACAAACTAATGGTCTAGAACAAAGCTGACCAGAAGGCATTCGAATATGTCAATAATTACATGAACCTTCCTTTAGCTACAGTACATTAGCCTCGAAAATTTGAAGCCGATCGGATGAGGCGTTCGTCAGTTATAAACAAGAACACTGAAGGATTACAATATCCACTTCTACTTATATGACTACTACTACTACTACTACTACTACTACTACTACTACTACTACTACTACTACTACCATGACTACAACCATTACCAGTTCTATTTGTATGATTACTACTATTATTAATACTACCACCACCATTACTAGTACTACCACCACCACTATCATTACTACTACCGCTATCACTACTGCTGCTACTTCCACTACTACTATCACTATAACTACTATTTCGCCTGCTGCCACCACCACTACTACTACTAGCACTACTAGTACACTAGTTAGTAAAACATAAAGCCTTGATATAAAAGTGTATGTACCAAACAATGGCCAGGAGAGGACAGCAGAACCGAGCTATCAACCAAACTGAAAGTTAACAAAAATACTTCTTGAAATATATGAACATCCAGGACAACATCCGGGGTAACATCCAGGACAACATCCGGGGTAACATCCAGGACAACATCCGGGTAACATCCAGGACAACATTCCGGGGTAACATCCAGGACAACATCCGGGGTAACATCCAGGACAACATCCGGGGTAACATCCAGGACAACATCCGGGTAACATCCAGGACAACATCCGGGGTAACATCCAGGACAACATCCGGGGTAACATCCAGGACAACATCCGGGGTAACATCCAGGACAACATCCGGGGTAACATCCAGGACAACATCCGGGGTAACATCCAGGACAACATCCAGAACAACATCCGGGGTAACATCCAGGACAACATCCGGGGTAACATCCAGGACAACATCCGGGGTAACATCCAGGACAACATCCGGGGTAACATCCAGGACAACATCCGGGGTAACATCCAGGACAACATCCGGGGTAACATCCAGGACAACATCCGGGGTAACATCCAGGACAACATCCGGGGTAACATCCAGGACAACATTCAAGGTAATATCCAGGACAACATCCAAGGTAACATCCAGGACAACATCCGGGGTAACATCCAGGACAACATCCAAGGTAACATCCAGGACAACATCCAAGGTAACATCCAGGACAACATCCAAGGTAACATCCAGGACAACATCTAAGGTAACATCCAGGACAACATCCAGGACAACATGCGGGGTAACATCCGGGGTAACATCCAGGACAACATCCGGGGTAACATCCAGGACAACCTCCGGGGTAACATCCAGGACAACCTCCGGGGTAACATCCAGGACATCATCCAAGGTAACATCCAGGATAACATCCAAGGTAACATCCAGGACAACATCCGGGGTAACATCCAGGACAACATCCAGGTTAACATCAAGGACAACATCCAAGGTAACATCCAGGATAACATCCAAGGTAACATCCAGGACAACATCCGGGGTAACATTCAGGTTAACATCCAGGACAACATCCAAGGTAACATCCAGGACAACATCCAAGGTAACATCCAGGACAACATCCAAGGTAACATCCAGGACAACAACCGGGGTAACATCCAGGACAACATCCGGGGTAACATCCAGGACAACATTCAAGGTAACATAAAGGACAACATCCAGGGTAACATCCAGAACAACATCCAAGGTAACATCCAGGACAACATCCAGGGTAACATCCAGGATAACATCCAAGGTAACATCCAGGACAACATCCGGGGCAACATCCAGGACAACATCCAGGTTAACATCCAGGACAACATCCAAGGTAACATCCAGGACAACATCCGGGGTAACATTCAGGTTAACATCCAGGACAACATCCAAGGGAACATCTAGGACAACACCAAAGGTAACATCCAGGACAACATCCAAGGTAACATCCAGGACAACATCCAGGTAACATCCAGGACAACATCCAAGGTAACATCCAGGACAACATCCAAGGTAACATCCAGGACAACATCCAAGGTAACATCCATGACAACATCCAAGGTAACATCCAGGACAACATCCAGGTTAACATCCAGGACAACATCCAAGGTAACATCCAGGACAACATCCAAGGTAACATCCAGGACAACATCCAAGGTAACATCCAGGACAACATCCAAGGTAACATCCATGACAACATCGTGTAAAGGAACTTGTATCGTTCTTTTAAAGTGTGAGCGGGGGGGGGGAATGGGGTCGGGGTGGTGTTGAGTAGGGTTCGCACACACACACACACACAGTCCTTATTTGCAGATGATGTGAAGTTAATGAGGAGAATTAAATCAGATGCGGACCAGACAGGTCTACAAAGAGACCTGGACAAGCTGGATGCGTGGTCCAGCAACTGGCTCCTAGAATTTAACACCGCTAAATGCAAAGTCATGAAGATCGGAGAAGAGCAAAGAAGACTGCAGACAGAGTATAGGCTAGGAGGCCAAAGACTGCAAACCTCACTCAAGGAGAAAGATCTAGGAGTATAATACCGAGTACATCGCCAGAAGCACACATTAACCAGGTAACTGCTGCGACATATGGGCGCCGGGCAAACCTGAGAATAGCGTTCCGGTACCTCAGTAAGGAATCGTTCAAGACTTTATACACTGCGTACGTGAGGCCCATACTGGAGTACGCAGCACCAGTTCGGAACCCACACCTGGTCAAACACGTTCCAGAGCTAAGGAAATATGTCCTACGGAGAAAGGTTAAGGGAAATCGATCTGACGACACTGGAGGACAGGAGGGTGAGGGGAGACATGATAACGACATACAAAATACTGCGTGGAATAGATAAGGTAGACAGAGACAGGATGTTCCACAAATGGGACACAGAAATAAGGGGTCACAATCGGAAGTTCAAGACTCAGATGAATCAAAGGGATGTTAGGAAGTCTTTCTTCAGCCACAGAGTTAAGAAGTGGAATAGTCTGGCAAGTGATGTAGTGGAGGCAGGAACCATACATAGTTTTAAGACGAGGTACGATAAAGCTCGTGGAGCAGGGAAAGGGAGGACCCAGTAGCGGTCAGTGAAGAGGCGGGACCAGGAGCTGAGTATCGACCCCTGCAACCACAATTAGGTGGGTACAATTAGGTGAGTATACACACACACACACACACACACACACTAATGACATCATCAACACCGCCCCGCTGATTGGTCCATCACAATAAGCTACAACAACAGTCAACAAAAAATACTGGAAGTGCAGTTCTCTAGAGGATTTATAACATTTCCTCTCAACTCCAGCTGTTCCTCTGGCGGACAGTGCCAGGATCAGTGCGCTGGCAGTGCTAGGGTCAGTACGCTGGCAGTGCTAGGGTCAGTGCGCTGGCAGTGCTAGGGTCAATGTGCGGGCAGTGCCAGGGTCAGTGTGCGTGCAGTGCCAGGGTCAATACGCGGTCAGGGTCAGCGAGTGGATAGTGCCAGGGTCAGCAAGCGGACAGTGCCAGGGTCAGCAAATGGACAGTGCCAGGCTCTGCGGGCGACAAAGAACCTTGGAAACCAGTTGATCTGTGACTGGTTTCGAGACTGCCGCTACCTCGCTCCCCCGTAGCTGGGTGTGGTAGTTGCGTGGTCAAGCAAGCTACTGGTGTTGGTGGTGATGTACTTACTGGCTAGCCGGAGTTTGACGGGAGGACCAGTAATGACGCCCATGCGGGTAGTGACCAGGCACCTGTACTCCCCCTCGTCACTAGTACCTGACCGACGGTGAATCATCTGCAAGAAAAAACAAACTCATTAACTCACAATAAACGAGAACAACTTCGATACATCGCTGTAAACAATGTAATATGTACTCTAGTCTGTACTATAGTGTCTATACATAGGTGGTCTAGAGTACATATTACAGACAACAAGACCAACTGCCTTGTCTGAGACGGTAAACTGATGTGGATCACTCAACACAGGCAGTGGTCAAGGTTGGATCCTCCGCCCACTGTGTGGCAGAGGCACCTTACTCTGACACTCACAGTGCCACTCTCTTGTCTACCTGCGTAATCACACGACACTCATGACAATCCATTAAGAATAAAAAGGCACAATACTGAAACAATATACAAAATAACCCGCACATAGGAGAAAGACACTCGAATCATTAACTAGTTAATGGTTCGAGTCTGACCGGAACGCCGTCAAAAGTTTCTGCTATGCGCGGGTTATTTGTGTATGACAACCTGCATACATCTCTGACGTACGTATTCTTGTACATCCTCCTCTGTGCTGAGATACAGTACACGTTTCTGACGCACACTATCGCTAACTACTCTGATTAATATACCGAATATATATATATATATATATATATATATATATATATATATATATATATATATATATATATATATAAAATATATATATATATATATACATTAATGTTCAAAGGCTTTACAATTAAGTCGTTGCTCCATTACCTAGAAACAGCGGTGACATCACCTCGTTGAAAAACGTACTTGCAAAGTTGTATTCCTTGCCAGATTTGCAAGAAATATACCCCGTGTATGTGTTGCAGTGCCACACACACAGGGTTAAGGTCATTGCTGGGCCCTTAGTAACCTTGCCTTGCATGTATGTCACACCATGAAACGGCGGACTGGCCGTCAGTCAGTAAGTTTATTTAAGTACAGGACACATAATTACAATTATCATACATAGTGTAAATTACCCAGGATAACCCCTCCCCCCCCAAAAAAAAAAGTCAAAGTGGCTTATTGCCTATGATATCTATCAGATATAGACTACTGAGTGGTAGGAGAGAGAGTGAATTGTATAATGAGTTTTGTAAGTTGTGTTCTTCCCTACCCGCGAGCCATGTCTTGCAGATTAAGACACATGCTCCCTTTGTATTTGAAGAAGTCTACTGTGTAGGCGAAAAGTTTTATCAATAAAGATACCCAACTGTTGCACATGTGTCTTAATCTTCAACTTGTCATTATTGTATACCATTTTCAACAAAGCCAAAGCCACGTCTTGAGTCCATCGCCTTAGTCTTGGAGATGGGCAGGAGCCACCTGCCTCTACCAGTGGTGCATCTCTTCACCAATTCGTCTGCTCTAAATAGTAGTTTTTCTCCTCTCTAGTGGCGAGGTTTTAACCATTACTGAACATAACGTAAACACATGAGCAAGATGCAACATTGCAACAGACCTGCTGGACAGGACGTGAACATCCTAGAGATGAGGGGATCATCGCCCCCGTGTCCGGGTCCCACATCAGGCTCTCTTATGCCAACTCTACATACTACACAACCACATATTAAACACCCGCTTTATAATAACCTACACACAAAAATCACTACCATATATTTTATATAAACCCTAATTAATTCAGAGAATTCAGAAATATTCAAGAAATGTCAAAGTATTTTATCCACAGTGACATATTACCAAACATTCTGGAAAATACCCTGACTCTACCCACTGTAAATAACACATAACTTATTATTATTTATTTTTTTTACAAGCATTCCTTGCTAAAATATAAGGTAATATTTTTGTAATATTTTTTTGTGACTTAAATAATGGTTTCATAAATAACTCATCAAGATTTTAACCAGTTATCAACAAGTCTCAGCTCCTGGTCTTCCCTCTTAACTTGCCAAGAACCTAATTTACTCCTTGTCTCGTGGGCTTCGCCATACTTAGTGTTAATAGTATGTATGAAACCTGACTTAACTACCACTACTTTCAGGTCATTCCACTTCCTGAGATCTGTTTCATGTGTGTCAAATTTCCAACTTGAAAAAATGGCAAATGTCACCCCATATATAAAAACAGGGGAATAAACAGGAGACCTTGAATTGTGTTTCTAATGTGCATATTGTCGAAAGTTTCTTTTAGAGAAGACAGCAAGGATATTGGGCACTAGGAGAGATGATAATTCTCCAGCAGAAAACCAACATGGATTTAGTGATGGACAACCTTGTCTTGCAAATTTGCTGGAGTTCTATATGACAGACACACGAAGATGAAACAAGATAGATCTTGGCGGACCGCCTCTTCTTGTACTGAAGAAAAGCATTTGATGCGGATCAAATCAGAAATTAGAGGAGTGGGTAGGGTTAAAAGGTAGAGTTTTCCAGTGAGTCAGAGTACCCAACTGCAGAGAATGAGAGTAACAATAAGGAACGAGGCATCTGGATGGGAGAAGGTAACGAATGGGATCTTGCAAGGATCACTGCTAGGACCACTACTGTTTCTAATGTATTAATGTCATTGATCCATGAGAAGGGATTGAGTTGTGTGTCACTTTCCGAATATACAACTAATGAGGAAAAATAAAAGCACAAGTTAGTAATAAACTCCAGGAAGACCTTAACAGAGTACAGATGTAGTCAAACAAGTGGTTTCTTGAGTTCAACCCCAACACATGCAAGGTCATGCGAATTGGAAACGGTGAGGGCAGACTGCACACACAATAAAACATGGGCAGAGAGAATTATCATCATTATTATTATTATTATTATTATTAAAAAGAAGCCTTAAACCCGGGGAGAGAAGCTGCAAATATCAGAGTGAAAAGAACCTGTAAGTGAATATAACACCAAACATACTACCATGAAATATAAACAATATAACATCAGCATCATATGGAAGATTAACAAACCTCAGAGTAGTAGCGTTAGGTTAATCGTTGAGTACGCAGCCCCAACATGGTGCCCACATCTGATCAAGAATGTGAAAAGTTGAAACGGTCTAAACAGTCGCAATAAAGCCAGTATCAGAATTGACTCTGGTAGACGGAAGCAAGGGAAACATGATTACGACATACAAAATCTTAAGTGGACTCGATAGGACCGATAAAGTAAATAAAAAACAAAAAGGCACAATACCGTGACTGGAACGATACTCAAATAACCCGCACATAAAAGACAGAAGCTTACGACGACGTTTCGGTCCGACTTGGACCATTGACAAAGTCACACATTGACTTTGTCAATGGTCCAAGTCGGACCGAAACGTCGTCGTAAGCTTCTGTCTTTTATGTGCGGGTTATTTGAGTACCGATAAAGTGTCTTACCGTACGAGAATTAGGATCAAGGGGACACATCCTGATGGAAGCTGAAGTGTTGTAAGGAAGTATTTCTTTAGTCTCGAGGGGGAGGGGTAGTTTAGCGCTTACTTTTAATTATAGTGATAATTTAGTCTGAAGAGTGAGATAGTGGAGGACACAAACTCAATACACAGTTTCAAAAACAGATATGATAAAGCTCAAGAATTCATAAATTACTGATATCGATCAAACTGGTCTAGGAGGCCGGGCCAGGAGCTGAGTCTTGACCCCCTGTAAACAAACCTCGGTGAATGCAACTCAGTGAGTACCCACAAACACAGTACGAGCGTACAGTGTTGATCACGTCTACATCATGTTCTGTAGTGTTATTAATACGTGCGTGGTGGACGCTGCACCACACCTGCGTGGTGGACGCTGCACCACACCTGCGTGGTGGACGCTGCACCACACCTGCGTGGTGGACGCTGCACCACACAACCTGCGTGGTGGACGCTGCACCACACAACCTGTGTGGTGGACGCTGCACCACACAACCTGCGTGGTGGACGCTGCACCACACAACCTGCGTGGTGGACGCTGCACCACAACCTGCGTGGTGGACGCTGCACCACACAACCTGCGTGGTGGACGCTGCACCACACAACCTGCGTGGTGGACGCTGCACCACACACCTGTGTGGTGGACGCTGCACCACACAACCTGCGTGGTGGACGCTGCACCACACAACCTGCGTGGTGGACGCTGCACCACACAACCTGCGTGGTGGACGCTGCACCACACAACCTGCGTGGTGGACGCTGCACCACACAACCTGCGTGGTGGACGCTGCACCACACAACCTGCGTGGTGGACGCTGCACCACACAACCTGCGTGGTGGACGCTGCACCACACAACCTGCGTGGTGGACGCTGCCCCACACCTGCGTGGTGGAGCTGCACCACAAACCTGCGTGGTGGACGCTGCACCACAACCTGCGTGGTGGACGCTGCACCACACCTGCGTGGTGGACGCTGCACCACACCTGCGTGGTGGACGCTGCACCACACCTGCGTGGTGGACGCTGCACCACACAACCTGCGTGGACGCTGCACCACACAACCTGCGTGGTGGACGCTGCACCACACAACCTGCGTGGTGGACGCTGCACCACACAACCTGTGTGGTGAACGCTGCACCACACAAACTGCGTGGTGAACGCTGCACCACACAAACTGCGTGATGGACGCTGCACCACACAACCTGCGCGATGGACGCTGCACCACACAACCTGCGTGGTGAACGCTGCACCACACAACCTGCGCGATGGACGCTGCACCATACAACGTACGTCTACCTGGAGGGCATTCCGGGGATCAACGCCCCCGCTGCCCGGTCAACGACCAGGTCTCCCGGTGGATCAGGGCCTGATCAACGAGGCTGTTACTGCTGGCCGCACGCAATCCAACGTACGAACCACAGCCCGGCTGTGGAATTTCCTGTACTAACAGCTAGAATTACTTGTACTAATAGCTGTAATTTCGTGTACTAGAGCCATGTTAACCTGGGTTGTGGAAGACATCTTTCCTTAAATCACTTACAGTTATAACAGAGCACGCCATGTTACTGGCCTCTATCTTGTTTATTTTTTGCTAATGCTTAAATGCCTCTAGTGTTTTATCTATGTCCAAACTATTCTTATTTGCTCTTCTGCCTTGTTGGTTCTAATATAACAACCTAAGTTTTAATATAGCATTTGCAAGTGTCCAACTCCGGCGCCGAGTACACGGGCATGCTGCTGCTGGTGACGCCTTGGTTAC